AGAAAAAAACTAAAAATAAAATGTGATTAAAATTTTACGGTTCTTTGACGTATGTTTTAAGACCGCTACTATTAAAAATGATAGCTATGAATATTAAATGATATAAAAAATAAAATTTAACCCACCGATTATTCAAATTCTTACATTTACACATCATATACATACGTATATAGATATATTGCAAGTATTTACAATCATTATTATTTCTTTACATTTTATGATATTTCTTACTCTTTTTTATCCTTCATCTTATATACCAATTAATGACGATATGGCTTGAGGGTAATTTGCATGTGAATAATTTTAAAAATTAAAAACTGTTAGTCATAAAATTACCATCTGGGTAATCAAGTCTCTTGCATATAACAATCTATATGTATAAATGTATAAATACAATGTTATGTATACAATCTAGTATAAGGATATAAGTGTCTAGCACAAAATATAATCTTTGTATAATAAATTAACATAAAATAATAGTTGTAAGTTTAAAACATCTTATATGAAAACAATCATTCTGACAAGTCCTGGTAACTGATATACACGGTTATTTTTCTAATATTCAAACCTATACACCTTCTTGTTTTTCAAATAAAATGTCAATATCAGAACTGCAAAATAGAAAACATAAATGGTTTTTTACATAGTGCGAGTGGTGACTGGTGACATATAAAATATATTCAATTGAAACTTTAAAAAAGTTATAAAAATTGTAATTTTAAAGTTTCAATTTAATTTGCCTTAAGAAATAATCAAATTTTATTGTTTTAAGTTAATAAGTTCTCAGATGTTGTACGAGTATAAGAATAAAATTTCAAATAGAACTTTGCTATTATAATTTTGCTTATACATGGGTTTGAACATAGAAATTTTATTTATTTTATGTTGTTAATACTGGCATTGTGGATTTAAATATTAAGGGAGCTAGATTTCCTTTAGGCCTTATTAATTCCTTAAAAATTTCATTTATTTATAATTATAATATTTGATTTTTTTAATTATTTTAATTCGAATTTTGATTTTATTACAAAATTAATTTAGTTAAACTTTATTTAATTTTGCCGTAATTAATTTAATTAAAAATTCAATCTTAGAGTGGTACGTAAATTATTTTTTTCCTAATTACTTTATCTTTAATTAGCCTGGATTTATTACTTAAAATTTTATTAAATATTGAAATAATTTAGTTCTATAAATTTTCTCACTCTTCAATATCCTTTGAATTTCGCATGTTTTAGCTCCTTGTTTAAATTATTAGATTCTCTTCAATATTCCAAATCGCAAAAGTTAAAAATTTTGAAAAGTTAATATCAGAAAATAATTTGAAATACCATGGTAACTACTAATGCTCCCTTTTCTACTGGAAATCAAATGGTTTTTCCTAAATATTAAGCTTTCCTACTTTTGCTATAATTTTTATTTTTTGTTTAATCCATGATACAAAGATCCTCTTTGAACTGCAATACAATGTGTGCAGTAAATTTGTATGAAGTAGATAACAATGACTTTTTTTTTATTTGTGCTTTCTTGATCTATATCCACTAATTTTTTGATCCACGTCATACAAAATGGATATTTTGTATGAAGGTCAAAAAAATGGCTATGGGTCAAAATCACACTGGACCTTTTTTAACTTAACTTGCTATAACTTTCGATCCGTTCCTTGAAATTTAATAAAACTTTACAGTCAAACCCTTAAAACTATAATAAAGCTACTGAGAAAAATTTAGGAAATCCAATCACGCAGTTTTGAAATAAATTCCTTCTAGACTTCAGACGTGATTTTCTTCCTTTAAAAGTTATGTCGTATAGATCAAAATAGCAATTAGTCGACGCATCTACACCTTACATGTATGTAGATTATAGGTGCACAGTTAAAGCAATACATTTAAAATTTTGAAATAAAAACAAATAATTCAGTGATTTTATATTAGACAAATTCTGAAATACTTAAGTAACTAATTCTTCAAATATAATCAACAAAAACTCTTAAAACAATACTGGATTATTTATAAAACTAAAACAAATATTATTTATTAACAAATATTGTACGTATATTATTAAAAACCCTTACAGAAATCCTAAAAATTTTAATAATTATATAAAATGAAATTAATTTCGAAATTTATTTTAAAATGGGAACCAGCAGAATTTTCAATTCATTTCATATTACACTTAAATTCAATCACACTTTAATAAAATATCAAACAGCATTTACAATAAGATTAATCTTTCTATCAAATTAATATCGATTTCCAACATATTAGGCGTCTATATTTGTAATTTTATATACATACATATGCATATATACATACGCATATAGATATAGAAAAGGAACAGAACTTTATATAATAAATTGACAATTAATTTTTATTAAGTATCAATTGATTCTTTCGTAAATTACTCCACTCTGCTTGTGCTTAATGTAACATTTTGAACAATTTTATTAATCTGAGAACATTGCTTTTGTATCTATGTGTATAACAATATGTAAATTATTTGTAAATATTGTATTATGAGCAATCCATGATAAACGTGATAAATAATTTAACTTAAGAGGCTCTTAAAGAATTTTACTTCAAAAATTATTATACAAATTCAAACAAAAGAAAAACAAAGGATAGTGATATATAATACCAGCAACAACAGCCTAAAACGTGACTCTTTGTGTCATCTTAACACTTCAAATCCCAATAGTTTAAATTATATTCCGTTAGTGTGAATTGACATGACATTATAAAATATGACATAAGATTGCAAAATTAATTTTGAAAAATGTAATTTGCACGGAGGAAATTAATTAATATTTTTCCCTATATCCTAGAAATATAAATTTTAATGATATTTCTTTTAAGTTCCACATGTCAAAAAATATGAAGCCATCTACTGCGATCAATAAATGCGTTTTAATTTCTCTCTTACATAAAGGCTCTTGTCATTTATATAACATTCTTTATATGAAAAGGGTTGAATAGCGATAGAAGATATGCGAAGAATTAATTTTTGTGAGATATTCGAGTTTACCGAGAGGAAAGATATCGGAAGAGTATTTTAGGCGCCTGATCTGGTACTTAATCTTAATTAGATTTTGTCATAGTAGGTTAGTGTAAATTATCACATATATTATCACATATTACATACCTGGTCACTGGGAAATTAAGACTTGTAGAATAAAACAACAGAAGATTTCAAAGTGGTTTTTATACCAATGCTTCAAATTTAATCTATGTACGTCATTAATCGTCATTGATAATTACATTTATTAGAATAGTTGAAATTCGATTCAATTTCTTTAAATTTTCAAAATACTCACATTAATGATTGACCCTAAAATTCTTTCTTTAAATTATCATTTAAATATATGTAGGTATATATCCAATAAAGATATTATAATTTAATGAAATGAGAAAAAATGAATAATATTGTCGTTGTCAACATAATTTTAAATTAATCAAAAACGAAATGCAACATACAATTTACAGTTAAACATATATAGAAACCAATTCTTTTGTAAGAATATCTCTATATCACTACATATATCATACGTACAACACAGAAAACACTTCATTTATTAATTTATTCAAATACATACGCACATTATGTATAGAAAACGTAAGTAAAATTCATTTGGCGTTGCAAAAATAAAAACGAAAACTTCAAATTAAGATTTTTTTTATTTAAAATTTTATTCTTTTTCAAGAAATAAATTGAAATATTAAACTTTGAATGGAATATTGTAAAAAATAATTATAATCTTACATGCGTTTATTACATACTTATATAAAAATATCAAAGTTCACACTAACTTTTAAAAATATATTCCATTTGCGATTACATATATAGAATTTATAACGATTTTATAATCTCTTTACACGATCACTGACGTGTTTCATTTCAAAATTCAAGAAAAATTATCACAAAAAATAATCTTAAAAATAATTTTTCACACTTCAATATTAATTTTAATATTTTATTTATTAATTTTATTGGTATCTATATCAAGAAACGAATAAGGTAATAAGTGAGCATAATATTGGGAACAATGTTGTAAATGTGACTCCAAACAAATTTCTGCTCTCTCTCTTTCTCTAACATTATAATATTCATATATGTACGTACGCTTAGTGTAGTTGTATGTATGGATACAATAAATGTCTTAAGTGACAATAAAGAAAATTGACTGAAATTTTTACTATGTAATATATTGATTATGCGTTTAATATCAAAGTATGTATGGTGTAAGACACTGTAAAACCATGATATGGGAACACAATACATATTTCTGATGTCTTAAGACATATATCAGTCATTTGTATTCAATATAGTTGATTATTATTATATCGATATTAATTTGAAATGATTTCAAATTAAATGAAGGGGTGTTGTAAATGAAACTCATTCACTCATTTTTACAATGAATGACATTTTTTGTAATATATTGTATGTGGAAAATCAAAGAGGTAATTGAAATACTATGACATTATATACATAATTATAGTTTTAATTGAAGTTGCACATATAAAAAAGAACGAGATTTACATAGGAATAATATTATTAATTACTTATGCGGGTAAATTAGAATTAAAGTAGCATAACTACATAATGCGATGATTTCACACTATACTATATATGTATGTATACGTGCAAAGCATATTAAATTGCGTTATTTGAGTATTGATGATTTTATATCAATTTTTGATTTTGAATCAATTTGTACATAAAAATGATTATACTTTAAATAAAGTACATTTAATAATGAAAAATTTTTTTTATTAAATTTTTTTTTTATTTTCAGATATTTAATTTTTTTATATGCGTTTTATGGAGGCGGTTTATTATTTGGTTAATTGAGATTTGAGTTTTAAAATTTTTTATTCTTATATTTTGTTCGTGTAGACACACACCATATTGTTGTTGGTTAATAATTTTTTGAATTGGATTTGATTTTGAATTCATAAAATGACAAGTTGTCAATTGATTTAATTGACTATGATTGTTTGTCAATTGACTGGTATGGCGCACGTATTGATTCCATTTATATTTGAATGAGTGTTTTGTTTTACTTGATATTTTTGTACATTTTTATTTGCTCTGTATTCTGTACATGATTTCTTTGCTGACATAATTGGTATTGATATTGTTTTAAATATCGATATAAGTAATATAATCCCATTGATTTCAATATATTGAAAGTGAAATGCTCCTTTGAGGTTTTTTTTGTTATTTTATTTTTTATAATAATTTATGATAATTATTGTGCGATTATAAAGGCTACATAATATGAAGTCATATATTGATTTTTACTGCTAGGGTGGTGTTTGTTATTATAATGCAGAAGAAGGGAATTTTAAGGGATAACTTTTTTTTTTTAATTGAAATTTAATTTTATGATAGATGATAAAACATTGTTGAAAAAATTTTGAGTGTGTTATAATTGAATATCGTTGTCATTAAAATCTAAAGTGTTATTTTAAGTTGAAACCTTATATTACTATACTTTTATAATAAATTAATTGATTATTTATTAAAAACCATCTCGCATGAAATACCGCATAATTAGCGAACGATACTAGCATCATTTTGTTGTCAAGAGCTTGCTTCCATAGCGATTCAAAACTCTGTAAAACGATAATGAAATACCAAACATCTACGATACTTTGAATTGTGCCTTAATAGTAATTATAAATTGTGAATTAAGTAGCCTTGTATGCGACACGTCGATAAAATAAAATTGTGTTAGGAAATGCACGCTTTTATCATGCTTGAAATGCAATTTATAGTTTATCGAAAATTTTCTATAATGAATTCATAATATGTGCAATTTGTTTAATCTATAGTTGAATTTTCACATATTCCTTTCATATTTTGTTTACATTTCGTTATGTTCTTAAATTTTGAATAAAAGGCAAAACTAAATAAACGGAACTGCCTATTGTTCCCAACTCCACGAAAATGAAGAAAAATTTTTATAATTTTTTTAAAAAAAAAAAACTGATAGTGATGTTTTTATTATCAGACGAATTGCTTAGGCCACGTATCAATTATCACCCGAACTAATATTGCACGGGAAAGCTAAAACTATCTTCAATTTCAGACGCACATAATGCGACTATAAGGTCCGAACTAAGTTGTCATCTTTTAATAAGAAAGGAAAAGGAAATAGTGAAGATTAAGTAAAAATTAAAGTTTATTTGTATGAGACAGACATATACGGACTTATACTTCAAAAACTTTGTACGGAAAAAATCCAATAACGGATGAGTTACAACCCAAATTACTCTTATACAACCTATATAGCTAAACATAATTTAAATTATTAGAAGGTACAGACGTAATGGCACCCTAATTAACACAATGATCAAAATAACCAAAATTTGCAACATCCTGCTTATCAACTCATTCCTACCATAACCCGTGCTCCTACCATATTGCCATTCATAGCCCCTATATATTAAGCATGAAAAATTGCTGGAACCTTAAAAATTATTTATTTAACTAATCTATAGACAATTCATAATCATCTATTTTACATAAACTCAATACAAATTAATGAGCTTCGATCAAATTGTTACACCATATTAATAAACTAATAACACCTTTTATGCGTCATTGTTTGAATGTATTGTTACAAGAACAGGTACAAGTTTAACTTAAAAAAAAATTAAAAATCATCAACTCATAAAACGATAAACCATTCTCATACATAATAGATGCATATTGTTAACAATATTTCAAAAATATAAAACAAGCTATTTTGAGTCTTATTAATGATTGACTAACCATACTGAATTGAATTTTAAGGAAATTTAAAAATCATGTATTATGCTAATAATATTTTCTTTAATAACAAAAAAAGAAAGAAAAAATTAATTGTAATAGCTTTTATTATCACCAACTCCCACTTATGACTGCTATATTGTTTTTATTTGGGAAATATGAATGACATAAAATCAATGTTATACATACCTGTCGATTCTGTTAAAACAGTGGTGCGATGATTCAAATCAAGAAAAGCGTGAATAACATAAATTTTTTGTAAGCTACTTTTCAAATAAAAAAAAAACTGAAATTAGAAAACTTTATTCTATTTTAAAATTGTCAATAAATTATGCTCGCGTACGTTATAATTTTGAAAACGTTTTTATTGTATTAAAATAAAATTAATGAGCGTATTATACGCTAACAAGTTACAAATTTTACCAAATTTTTTAAATATCTACAAAATATGTATGTATATGACGATTGTAAAAATAAAACCTGTTATGATGTTGTTTTTTCATTTTTAATATTTATAACTTAGAGCAGGTCTAGCTTTCATTTGAGCTTCGATGTTAATTACTATCGTTTAAATTGCTTTTTACTACGGCTGAACGAATTTCGAATAAATAATTTGATTTTTCTTTCGATCGTATATGTCTGACAACTATGCCGTAACATAGCAAATAATTAAAAATAATAGGAAATATCTTTCAAAACATAATTTTTTAACTATTTTGGCTAAATATTGCATAATGTAAAGTTATGTCCACTCGAAGTAATATTATCTTATTTTTGAGGCCCCTATAAGTATGCAAATAAGGAACTTTTTAAGTATTATTTTGTTTAATTTTAGAATTTCGATTTCTATCCCCGGTCTAGTTTCGTTTTAAATTCTATATTTTCCTTATAGATAGATAGATTTCATATAATACATCCAATCTTAACTTATAAATTTTCTCTTCCACGAATATAAAATCTCCAACTCCTACTCATTGTATCAGACATTCATTGTATTCCGTGATATTGATCCAAATATTTTGGGTTTTAATATGTACACATTGAATTTTCTACTCTTACTCCTTTCCAACTCCAATCCAGAGTTTATCGATGCAAATTACGGATCCGATTTTTTTTTTCTGAAAGAGACAGTCCCGACTCGGTTGAAATTTTGTAAACATATATTTATTAGAATATTTTGATGTAAAAAACTGTTGCAAATTTTTCTAAAAGCCTTTTTCTTTTGAATTGATCTTATTATCATCAAGCTATTAGATTCTTTTTAAAAAGTGTGATCATAATTAATTCCTTGAATTTATTTTAATTCGAATTCATTAAAATGTAACATTATTAAAAACTTAAATGTAAAAATAAAGAAACCAAAATTATATGGCAAATAAGATAACATGCAATAAACAAAAATCTTGATTATAATACAAAACGCATTAAAAAAAATATTTTCGTGTATAATAAACTATACTCCCACAAATATTATTACCACTTTTCAACATAGTCTTGCACTATAAAGATCATCATTTAAATCACCATATAGAAATCACATATACTATCACCTACTACCATGCTATAACTCTTCTATATATTTACTAATATAGAAGTATTTTAATTTTTTAATTTCTATAATAAGAAAGTGTTATTTCTGTAACTTTCCTCTATGCATACGTAAATATACATAAGTATGTTAAGTCACATAATATTTCTTATACCATTCGAACAACATTTTATTTTATAATGATCCCATTTTCCAAGTTTTCAGTACAGAAAACTACAAAAAAAAAGCATATAAAAACTGTTGAATTGATCCAATTCATTCCAATTAAGTCGGATATCTTTTAGAAATGCAAATCATTTAACCTTAAAATATCGTGCCGTTTGCTTCCTTAACATATTATATTTAGTAGCATTATCGTTTTGTGACTGTTTTATGAGCTTTGATACGCGATCTTAAAATTTAATGGAGAATAGGTAAACATTTTAAATGTACTTTTATACACACTTACGTTATATGTGTGTATAAAAGTTTGTGAACATGTGATAAAGCAAGTGTGTATAGCAGTATATAAAATCAGACCACAAAATTAAATACATAGTGAATAAAAAGTAAGTAGTAAATATAACAATTTCATGTTTAAATAGGTGTAGGTGGATTTGAGATAATTTAAATGAGAGCAAAATAGCGTCGGAGTCTTAACACGCATCTTCAATCGTGTTTCAGTTTTCTTATTTTTTTTTTCATTTTATTTAAAATCGAAGAAGCGAAAATACCAAAATCACAAAATTTATTTATAAATGTATACTTTTTTTTTATAGGGAAAGATACATATTTAAATTTTAAATAGAAATTAAACAGAATTCACCTGTAATGTTAATAAATTATGTCACTGTGAAAATGAAAGAAAAAAAAATCTAAAAAACGACAGTCTTGCCAGAAAAAATAATTTTTCGGATGTTTTCATTTTGGTTTAGCGCGTTTTTAGATATTTTTTAATTTATTATTTTTACAAGTTAGAATTTTATTATTAGTAGTTCGTTATTTACGATCACTTTGTTCATATCATATTGAAAATTTAGCAAAATAGTGGTAAATCAGTGGACCAGTCATTCTTGCACTCCTTTTGTATAGGCTCGCGCTTATACGGACGACGAATGAAATGTTAAGGCTATACAATCCTGCAATTATTCCAGAGACCGCGGAAACATATACCCCAAATGAGCACTCTATCTGCACGTTTTGACGAGAAGATAGGACCCAGGTACTCATATCTCAAACATTGATGAACTGACACAATTCTCGTTCATTTATCAGCATACCTCATACAGGATCTAAATTTATTGACCTGATTTTTGGAAAACGCGCTATTGTGAACAGGAAATAAATGTTTTGATTTGCGTTTATAATATTTCAACAAAAAATTACAGCTAGTTAGGTATTCTGCTATAATTTCAGCTTTCAGAAAATTCGGAAATCGTACTTATTTTGTTATTCTTAACTTCTTAAGGCCTTAAACGTAATTTAATTTCAAATTTTTAGGCGAAACTGAAACGTTACACATAGTTTACCCGTAACATAAAAAAAGTAGTGGTCGTTTTTATTAATTTGTTTTTCAATAAACTTTAAATACACCATAGATTTTTTTCAACTCTAAAGTATCATTTTTAAAATGATAATAAAATATAAACAAAAAACAAAGCGATATTGAAATTGTCACCATAATCGAAATCTTTAATCGAGATCAGAAAAAATACTAAAAAGTTAAAATAAAAAAAATCAGCAAAACGAAACTGCTAAATTGCAATCAAAAAATGATGATCAAAATTTTTTAAAGAAAAAGTTTTAATGGAACTCTAAATGTCAAAATGAAATTTATGTTTATGCCAATAATATGACAAAACGGAGATTTTATGCAATACAATTAATATAAAAGAAAATGGTTATAATAAGCAAGCAAATAGTTGCCGCTCACTTTCTTTTAACTGAAAAAATTATAAAATTTTAGACTTTTCAACTGCGCATATATTAAAGTAACACAATCATTATTCGATTACCCTTCATTCGTACTTTCAATTTAAAAAAAAATTTAACCAAATAAAGTTGGCGAAACAAAAACAAAAAATATTTTTATTATTGATTGTATACGAGTAGATGATATGATTTTGTAATAAACTTGCATTAGTACCATATTTAATAACATTTAATTTAAGAAAACCCGTGTTTTAAAAAACTATATTCAATTTAACTTAAATGCACGTGAAATAAGAAGTCTAACAAAAAAAAACCAAATTACAGGAAAATTAAAAAATATATTTAAAAAAGAATGAACGCTCCCTCTCAATTGCAAGTAGGTATAAGGATATTTAGGTTATTATGAATGTTATAAAAATTTTACCGTCAAG